ACTCTTCGTGTCTCGGTTGAACACTACGCTAAGAACGCGATAGTCGGAGGATTTTACGGGGATCACGTGGCTTTCAGGGGGAACAAGAAGGGGGCAGTGGTCGTTAACAGATTGTATACGGGGGAAATATAGAAAATTGACTGCCAACGAGAGGATAATTAAAATACTTAAGAACCGATAAAACTTTATTGTAACACAACAAACTCCTCCGACTCTCCCACTCACCCCCCAGGCGACTGGTCCCTTACGTGTGATTTGGAATGTATTTATTTCTTTAGGTATTTAGCGAACTTGGTTAAGCATTCAACAGCCTTAACATACTTTAGTAATTCATTTTCTGAGTTTATCAGCTCATAACCAATTAGAACAATCCTCTCTCGATATCTCATTCTGGACCATGGAGACAGTCCCATCTCAGCGAATCACAGTTCACTGATCATGAAGTATAAAAAAAGAGTTTTTTCAAGTCATGTATATGCTTACCCCTTAGAATTGTCTGCAATGTTATATTCTAGTTATAATACAATTAACGCAATTTATGCCTCTTGCTCGCTTACCAATAACCTAGTGCTGTACACTGTGCATTACTAGGGGTGAGCTCCGTTTGCTGGGAGAATTAAACGGATAACCTTTATTTGCCGTAATTTGGCCACTCAGTTGTATGTCATTTTTATTTACATGAAAAAGGGAAGTATTACAAGAAAGGAACTGTTAGATCTTATCAGCCGACTTGATCTTCCCGTTTGGAGGATCCCCTCTATCCCTTTGTAAAACTCACTCACGTGCAAATATTTGGCCTTTTCACGTATCACAAGTTATATCCAAAACTCTTTCCCGTTCTCGCCACGTTTTCTAGTCTTGATCAGACTTACAGGTATATAAGTGAAGATTATGAGCCCACTGTACAGCAAATACCAACCTATTCATCTAGGCAAAATGATGAGGCTTTTCGTTTGACTACATAATATCAAAACGTTCATAATGCATAGCAAAAATTTTGGAGCTCATGAATAAACGCATGTTTTTACATTTCATATTCTGTCTCGCAGGGAATCGAATTGTAGAAGTTCAGCTGATTCACATCAAACTTCAAAGTCGTTTGGATCAAAGTCAATGGTTTTATGCTTACCCGTGAACGTTTTCGGCTCGCTCTCGACATCTTCGATTCATCTGCTTCGTTCGTCATCTTCATATGACTTTCAACAGCTAAAATACGCAGTTCATCCAATTCCGTTCGCTTGTCGATCGCCTCCATCCTCAAGAACAGCGTAACAATCGGTGGAATTGAAATGAAACAAAGAACCGAAGAACCTCTGCGAAAAGCATCGCTTGAGCATTTTGCGGAGGTTTCTTTGTAGGGTCCATCGTAGCTTCAAGGAATTCGAATGAACAGCTCTTCTAATTAACAAACTCAACAGTTGCAAGATACGACTTGTTTATAAAAATTTGAGCTGTGCAACTGATATAATAAAGAAAATGTACAGGCAAGATGTAAAGTAAACCGTTATTGATTTTTCTGTAATCGCGTCACAAAAGTAAGAGCCCAGAGGCCTGACCCGACGCAAAAATGAATCCAGTTTTCAAAATGGGTGTGGTCTCGAAGGTGATAAACATTTTGTTGTGAGGGATTGCTGAGTACCTTTACGAGTTGTGCCGTATCAAAATGCAAAGAACAAAACGTTTTGCCAACACGCCTGCAAGTTATTATTCCAGTACGGGCGGATATTCGCGCTATTTACTGACGGGGACTGGGTGATAGAAGTATGCGAAGCGGAACGGAATTGGCAAAGAGATTTCATTGTCGTCTAACTGCTTCATTCGATTTATCTAATAAACTTGAATCAATATTCGCCAGCCATTCCGACTCTTCGTCGTCAGGAAAATAACATATGGTCCGCCATCTTTTTTCGTAACTTCAATTCAATTCCTCGCTCGCGCGATGGGAGAAAACCTGTCAAAGTGGTTCTATGGGGTACAAATGCCGTGAGATATTTGTACTTGTTTTGGGCATTATCTGTACTCTACGAAGCACAGTTGGATAATGAGTACCAGGTGCGTGCCGCTGGCCTCTCAGAAACCCTACCCCATTTTAGTCAATTTTGGAAATTTAACACCTTTTAAACCAGGAATCCTTCCATACCTAATAGGGGTTCTCCACGGAGGGGGGTGGGATTAACATTGACGGTTGACGGTTAAAAATAAGCTCTTTTAACGGTTGACGATTAAATTTTGAGCCATTGGACGGTGACGGTTAATTATTTGTAATGTCATTTATAAAACGCGCTAATTTGGCTGTAGTTTTTCACAATGAAGCGTTTGTGGAGAACTGTTAATTTGTAACATCTTTTATCAATAAATGACTACCGTTCTACGAAACGGGATGTGTTTCCATACCGGAAGTCAGTTCTGTCGCCAGCTAGGTTTACTCGCGACTAGAAGTTAAAGGACTTCAAATATCATAAAAATGCATAACTGCATTTTTGGGATATATCAAAACTTTTATTGATAATAATATGCATGAAAAAATTTCTCAGTTCTGATTGGTTGAGATGAATGCAGTTTTCAGTCAATTCAGTGCAGAAGAGAGTTAATTTAGTGCAGAAGAGGGTTAATTCAGTGTAAAGGAAGAAACAAACCAGACATTCTGATTGGCAAGAATGATTGGTCAATATAAATGTCAAGGTTAACGTAAACATCAATGTCTCTTGCAGGGTTTGAATAAATTATTTTTGCACATGATGCGCGCGGTTTTCTTCTGCGTAGTTGTGAGAAGCTACCTCGTATTTTTTTTTATTTCATGTCTATTATTAATACATAATCAACTGATTTCTCGTGCAATTCGGAATAAATAAGCACTTGCAAATTTTTCAAAGACCACAAGTTGCACTCGCTCTACGGGCTCATGCAATTTTGTTAGTCTTTGAAAAAAATTACTCCTGCTTATTTATTCGAAATTGCACTCGAAATGATTTGATTACCTACACTAAACAACAGAACTTGACCCCAATTAAGGCAATGGCTTAGCTCTTAATTAATTAAGGATATCTGAGACATTTGACGGCTAACGTTGGCTCACTTATTTGCCAGTTGACGGTAAAAATATTGCATTTTTGACGGCTGATGGTTAGTATTTTGGTCATTTCACGGTCGGCGGTCAACCCCATTGAGACTCGCTAATTACTCGGGCTTTCCGCAGGAAACGCCCGAGTTGAAATTTCGTCTTCGCTTTTATTTTCGTTCGGTCGCAAATCGCAGTCAAGATGTACGCATGTGCGACGTTCTTAATACTTTGATTGTTTCACTGCGTATTTATTTTATTATATTAATTGTTAAGTTTAACGCGTGTGCTGTTTATCTTTATTGTTGCGCGCGCTCCGTCTAGATTAAGCAAATGCAGGCGCAAAAAAAGTTTCTTTCAACAAAAAGCCCGACTGAACGGAAATATGCGTCTAATTATTAGAGTTTTGTTACCCCTAAAATCCCAAAATGCGTGATCCCATTCACAAATCCCTATTGAAAATGCAGCCGAAATTTGTTCAATCCAGTAGTGAAAACGCGACGTCATCTTGTGGAACATCCCCATTAGCTTATCATTATGAGGTCCTCCTCCCCTCTTCGTGATATGCACGACAATGTCAGCGGAATCAAGCAAGATACTGCAATCGGAGACTGACACTTTTTTAACTTGTCATTTTGGTCGTCTAGAATTTGGTCCCAGGCCTCCTTCTGGTGTGCTGAACCAATGGAGGTTCAAATAGCCTCCATTTTCCTATTACCTCGGTTGACACGTTCGTAGAAAACTTAAACATGATCAATTAGATTATACCTAACTTTTTCAAACTTTTCAATAGATACTATACATCAAGGACTCGCAGACTTTTTCCTTTTTTCAAAGATTTTTATTTATCCATTTATTTATCGTTTTATTTCATTTATTTATGCCAATTTAATAAAATATGGAGTGCTCGACGTAGCTTCAGAAAAATTTCTTAATGAAATATTCGGTTAAAACATACACACATCTTGCATATTTTATATCTGATATTACTAAAGAATCATCAATGAATACTTCACATTTCCTTAAAAGATCAATGAGTTGTGAGTCTGACTTAAATTAATTCTATTGAATCTGATTTTCGCAGAAAAATCCTTCTGGCAATTAATTTGTCGCCAGTGAGAATCTAAAGGTGTTTAAGGAACTTAGTAAGTTGCTGGGGAGATGGTCGAGTTATTTTATCTTTGCTGTAAGAGGAAAAATATGTGCTTTTACTGACCATTTTAAAATGTTCATCTAACTTGGATCACAATGTGACATAAATTGAATAACGTCATCCTCTATAAAGTTCTCCAGGTCTAAACTAAGTTTGAAAAGTAATGCTCTAATTATATTTAACGGATCCATAGGTTCAACGAGTAGGACTGAGACCCATTGGTTGAAATGGGATTACCATGACCATTACCATAACCAAAGTCTTCTTCACTGCAGCTCTTGTCATCAAAAGAGGCGTCGCCAGCTTCTGTGATTCCAATCCCATGATCTGCACGATCACATTCGTTTCCTCCTCCGCCAATCATCATCACTGATCCATCACCACCCTTCCAGTCACACCAGAAGCCGATCTTGTTGGCGCTTTGGATGTCTCCACTGCAATTAGCCTTTTGGAACCCATCTGTTGGCTTGTACTGTCCACCATATTGAACCGTACAGTTTCCAAGACACTGATCCTTGGCCCAGGATTTACCATTTCTAAAGTTGC